AGATAGTTCATGTTCACTCAGTGAGTTTGGTACGTGAGTAAAGTATTGAAGTGGGATCTCTCCAACTCTAACCCAATAAAACTTTAAATTGCTTAATCTATCTGTTTAGATAGATTACTTGGACTTTTCATCACAAATAGTGGAAGCATTCACCATTTTTTGAACTTATTAATGGGAAAAAAGGTATCATATGAACTTAATTTTAGAAATTAAAGGTATGTTTTTGGTGATATAAACAGAGAACTCAAATGTTTTTAAAATATTATCACTAGATATGAGCTATGTGGTGTGTGGTCCAAAAGAGAGGCTGCCTCAGTAACAGCTCCCACTTTATGGAATCTCTCTCCCAACTCCCCCAGAGGCATGGATGGCCCTGACCCTGCTGGTATTTCATAAACAAGCCAAAGCAGTTTTGTTTCAGTAAATATTTGCCATGTACTTTAATTTGAGAGTGCCTGTCAGGTTTACTTGCATTTTTTAATTATATTAAATTTGTTTTCTCTCTGTTGTATTCTCAGAGACTGCTAGGATTGGAGCAGGTTATAAATATTGTAAAACAAATAATTAACATAAACTACCACAAATATGAGTTCTAACATCTACTATATATAGGTAGCATTTCACAATATAATCCATTTTCAAATCTAGCACTCCTAGATCTACTATCTATCTCTACTTAGATCTACTAACTACTATCTATCTCAAAGCATTAAAAATAAAACTTTCCTGTTTTAGTGACTACCATTTCATGTCCATCATTTATCTCACAGATGTAGGATAATGCTTTTTATAAAGAAACAACTATTATCTTATTCTTGAAAACTTTTACAGGATTAGGTTTTGATTGGAACACTTCTACATTAGGTTTTTCCTTTAGATTTTCTATTCACTCATTTTTATTAGGTATCTATGAAATGATTTTCAAATAAATACTCTCCTGCATTATCCCAATACTTTTTCACGGATTTTTTTCATTATTGCTTTTTAGGAAAAAGAAAAATGTAACACAATTATGTAGATCAATATTCTTTCATCTTGATATCTGCACTTCTGGGAGGAAGGTAAACTTATAGCAACCATCTAAACTGATTAAAGTAATAAATAGTATTACTTTTCAATGTGGCGCTGTCCTCTTTTTCAATGGAACTGCATTTGATCTGACCAAATTTATGCACCACTAACTAAAATGAGCAACATTTTTAACATCTTGATAGATTTTACTTGTTCTTTTAAAAAGCATTAAAATGTTTTCAGCTAATTGGGAAAAAAATGAAATACTGATTTAATAATGCTTAAGTGAAAAGCGTTTAGCACAAATTTTAACTATTTTTAAATATCATCATTCCATTAGCATATTTTAGAAGATTTCTCTCTTGATATATATGTGTGCTAAACTACTTCTAGCAACTTTTTTTTTTTAAAAATGAACAGCAACTTCTAAATAAAACATGCTTATTTTCAAACTAATTTTAACAACATACACCAAAAAAAAAGAACATACTCAAATAAATACATTTTCTAAAATAAGGAAATTTAATTGCAATTTTTTAAAACAGGAAGATCAATGATTGCATAAAACTAGATCTCATAATCAAAGTTAATACTGTATGACCTTGCTTGGAAATCAAAGTCCCATTGAATGAGTCTTTCTTCTTGAATTAGCAGAGATTGATTTGATCATCTAAAGAATTTTACTAGGAAGCTCTGCATGGGACTGCCAAATAAATGTATTTAGATTTCTCAGCAAGCAGTTATATAGAAAAGTAGAAAGTTTTTGCAATGTACCTAGGTGAGTTTAGGATAAACATTAAAAAAATATTTAAAAATCTTCTGCAATTATTTCAAATTGTTTTAAAGTTTCGTTTAACAAGCCCTCTTAATGCTGCCTTGGCTCCACTGCTAAAGACCCCAATTGTTCAGTAGGTCAGTACAGATTACAGAACAACAACAACAACAACAAGAACAGGAAAAATGTTACATAAGTTTTGCATATACTATGCCTGTTAATTATCATGAGTTTAACAAAATTATTACAAAGATTCTGTTACCCGTCAGAATAAAGAAATGTTCTAAGTTGTTAGTTTGACCTTTTTGTTCTGAATCTTTGAGATAGCATAATTAGCATGAACAATTTTTCCTTACTGGTAGTATTAAGGAGTTCACATGTTCCAACCGGACAGCTGTTATATACAAATAACATCCTTCATGAAGAATCTGCTAATGTGATCTTTAAAGAACTCATTTTATCTGGCTGACCATTTTTACAAGAATTTTTTAAAAAAGTAGGTGAAATCCTGTTATTTAGCTTACACCATTTAGTCTAAAGCACTGTCAATTCCGTCCAGTATTTTTATTCTGAGCCTGGCGCTTATTTCTGCGGCAGCCTTACAACACCCTCACTCTAGCCAATACGAATTTCCCTCGGCCTCATTAAAAACCCAACCGCTTCTCCTCCTTTCGCGGCGCCCCGCAACCACAC